TATAAAAATTTACTGCAGTGAATAGTTTTAGAACAACAAATTCTTCTGAATTTATAGACATGATCTCTTACTCGATCTTCCATGCATAGAGGAAAAGACAGAACCTTGAAGCCTGTGAATAGCTTATCGTGGAATAATACTTGCTATCCCCACTGCAGTCACTTCCATCGCCATGACTGAAGCTTTCATCTTTGTCACTTTCCACCTCTGGTGCACCTGGCTTGAAGATAAACAATGCGTGGTTTGAGCCTGGGACGCAAAATAGCCAAGCATATACATCCCAAAAGACTTGAACCGGTTGTTTATTAACTAAGATTGTCTGATTCCCCCTGAATTTCCACTGCAAGTTCCGAATATGTATCAACACAATCCCATCTATGCTAATCCACATTTCGGGTTCTCTAGGCCCTGAAGTCGAGCTCTCTACAACAATGTCATGCTCCTTTTTCCTATGGTCAAATTTCGCTCTGGTGGAGAAAGATTTCTTCCCAAATACGTGCTCTTCTTTGTAAACCAACATTGCATCAACCAGGGCTGCTTCTGATTTTGTTCTCTTATAGGCCTTTTCGGTGTAATCCCCCAACAATAACGCCATTTCTTCATCAGAAACTAATGCAACGTAAAAATCTGAACAGGGTTCTGGACTACCAGAATATTTTGCCGAACGAAAATCCCAATAGACATCCAATTGATTCCCATCAACCTGAAAGGTTTTGCACCCTTTCTTTGCCCAAAACTGCCAAGGTTTAAGGTCAATTTTGCACGTCTGATGATAATCACTTTCCATGGTTGCAACAGATATGCTCAGAAAATGAGTAGACAAATCCTTGCTCCATAATACAGTCACATATCGCCAGTAACCTCCAATATGTGTCTGGTAAAAACATGTGACAGTGTTGCTCGCGGTTTTCTGAGTTACAGGATCATTTGTTAATTTCTGAGCCAAAGGAGGTTGGGAAGAGGATAATGAATTTGCCCTCATGTTTATACGATAAGCCATTCTTGTAATCCTGTTCCTCTTCCAATCAAAAGAGAAATGGAATTGATGTCCTTAACGGTTAAATGTTAAGGAGCAACCTCGATGAAGGAAACAAGAATTAACTAGATTTTTTTTTGGCTGCCAAAGCAATTGCATCAGGACAATAAAGAAGACAGGGCGAAGAAAGCCAACGTATACACAATATTCCTCTTTCCGGACATTCTACAAACACCATCGATAAACTAAGTATTTTTCCTAATAAATTCGTGATCACGAATTCTCTTAGGCTGCAATTGCATCAGGAGAATACAGATGGCAAAGCAAATAACGCTAACATATACACAGTATTCTTCTTTCAAGACATTCTACAAACAACGGATACAATAAATCTTTTTCCCACTAAATTCGTGAATATGAATTCTTTTTCGCTATTCCAATCTACCAAAAAAAGGTCCTCCAAGAATTCATCAATTCGGGAGCCACGACAATGGTTGAATCAATATATGTCTGATATCATAAGGAAAAGGATTCGGACATGAAAGAAATTGGTTTTCTGCAGGAAAGAATTCTGTTACAATTGTAACATTTACATTTGATTTTGTTTGTGGAGGACTGCTCTGGAATTGATGACTATGGCTACAGGTCCCCTGAGAGAAAGGGTTATTTGTATCTTTCTCCTTTTCCCCTTTCTTTCCTGGCAAAGGATAAACAACGATGATATATAGGCCAAAGGCGAATTATTGCAAGATCAAATCCGAAATTCCTGTTCTGTAATGTAAATAA